CAAGACGAAAGATACTCGATTCAAAGCACATTCAGAAATTGATGGTGTTTGCTCAACTTCACAACGAAGGGGCAACTGTCTGTCGATAAATAACTTTCCAATTTCATTCAGAGTCAATTTCAACTTCACAGCGAAGGATATTGAACTCAAAGCGACACAATTTTCTCGAGAGTAGATTTCAACTTCACGACGAAAGATATTTAGCTCGAAGTCAAACTTCACAATAAAGGGGTCATCCACGATTTCAACTTCACGGCGAAGGGAATCGTGTCCACCCGCAACATACAATACTTGGATTTGAACTTCACGACGAAGAATATTCAAGTCAAGGCTCAACTTCACGATGAAGGGGTTATCCACGATTTCAACTCCACGACGGAGGATATCGTACCCACACATCCACGATTTCAACTCCATGACGGAGGATATCGTGCCATTTTGAGGCTTAACTTCATGACGAAGGGGCTTTCCAGTTTCAGAGCCAATTTTAACTTCACAGCGAAGGATATTGGACTTGAGACAACACAAGTTCAACTTCACAGTGAAGGGACAACTGGTTGTCAACAAATAATTTCCCAGTTCCAAAGCCAATTTCAACTTCACGGTGGAGGATATTGGACTCGGAACAATACAACTTACTTGGATTTTAACTTCACGACGAAGGATATCCAATTCATGGCTCAACTTCACGGTGAAGGGGCTACCCACGGTTTCAACTTCACGACGAAGGGAATCGTACACACAAGCAGCATCCATATCCAGATTGGATTTTAACTTCACGGTGGAGGATATCCAACTCAGAGAAGGAGTGTCTGTCAACAAACTTTCCAATTTCGAAATCAATTTCAACTTCACATCGAAGGATATTGGCCTCGAAACAGTATACTGGATTTCAACTTCACGACGAAGGATATCCAATTCCAAGGCTCAACTTCACAACGAATGGGCCATCCATGGTTTCAACTTCACGACAAAGAGAATCGTGCTCACTATTGTCTCTCTTAAGACAATTCCAAGTTTTGTCTCTCTTGAGACAGTTTCCCTTGAAACAAAATCTTTGAATATCTTTTCCTTGAAACAAATTTCATCTCCCTTGAGACAGTTTCTTTTAGAACTAAGTTTTATCTCTCTTGAGACAGTTTCTTTTGAAACAAATTTTGTCCCTCTTGAGACAGTTTCTCTTGAAACGCAAAAAAAACCCTCGAAATTGTTTCTCTTGAAACACACACACACAAAACCTTTGAAAATGTTTCTCTTGAAACACCAAACCCTCGAGTTCGATTACACTCAGCTTGGAGGGCACATCATTTACAGCATAACTCAAGGCTAGAAGGGTTATCTGTCACAAAAAGACCTTCGAGTTCGACTATGCTCAGCTCTAAGGCACATCATTTACAGTATAACTCAAGGCAATAAGGGTTATCTGTCAATAAAATTGTCGAGTTCGATTCTATTCAGCTCGATGACACCTCAATCACACTATTGTTCGACTGCAATCGAGGTTTTTCAAGCCGAGAAGAAGGTATGGGTTAGCCGTGCCTTAGTAGCAAGAAGCCTTTTTCCCGTCAGCATAGCTTAAGTCGAGAAAAACTATATGTCAGCGAAGACTTTTCGAGTTCGGTTTCATTCAGCTCGAGTGCATATCAACCACATTATGGAGTCAAGAGATTACTTTCCAGACGAATTTTTAGCCAAGGTCTTTAAACCGAGAAGAAGACCAAATTGGACTACAATGAGAAGCCACATTCTGATTCAAATCATTTCAAGATGGACTCGACTTCGCGACGGAGGAGCCATCCGCAATTCAATTCGACAAGGAGTTATTCTTCAACTCCACTGAACAAAAATTTGTGTCTTTTTATCTTTGTCATATTTTACGTTCCACGAAAAAGGACAAAGAGGGGCAGCTGTAGACATCTATTTTCTTAAAAGATAGAACTAGCAAGAGTTCTTCTCCTAGGAGAACTCTTTCACCACCATATCTTTTAAAGCAACAACCACACCAACAAACGTGCAACAACCGAGCAAGGAGTCTAGTTACATTAGGATTCTATTGTTAATAGAATTCTAAAAATAGTTAGTTTTTTTCACTATAAATACATGTAATCCTCCCCATTTGTAACACGATTTACATACAAAATACAAAGGAAAGCACGAAAAATACAAAGGCAAAACTATTGTAAACGATTTGAAAAAGAAATAAAATGTAGCATCTTTTTTACTTTTGATTCGGTCTCTTACATTTATGTTTTAATTATTATTATTTTATTTATTTAACTTTATTTATACGCACATTTCCCTTGTTACTCATTTTATTTAATTGTTTTGTTATTTTTCTTTTCTTTTTTTTTCATGTAATATTTTTTTACATTTTATGCATTTTATTTTTTACTTTAGTATATATTTTTATTTTTTTAGATTATATATATATATATATATTATTTTATTATTATCAGTTTTATTAATTTATATTTATTTATTTATTTACAATTTTTTATTTTTTATTTTATATATATATATATATTATTTTTACTTTATTATTATTATTTTATTTATTTGTTTTATTTATATATTTTTTTCTTCTTTTTCTATATTTTTTTATATTTATTTTACTTACTATTTATCTTTACTTTCTTTATCTTATCTTTTATTTAATTTGTTTTTTCTTCATTTTAATTTAATTTAATTATTTATTTCTTACCTTTTTATCTAACATGATTTTTTGACATTCTTAAGGACACACCTTTAAAACTATCTAAAGTAAGTAATTGTGATCGTATTTTTACCTTTTAATTTTAATTTACAATTTTCTTAATTTAAGACAATCGGAAATTACATAATACCGAAAGGGCAGTTCAAGGGTGCTAACCCTTCATTGACTGTAACCGACTCCCGAATCCGACACATCACTAGTAAGATGCAGATCATGTAAGAAATAAGGTATCCAGTCAGCCTATTTTGTTTAAAATAAATGATCGGTGGCTACTCCTAATCATTTAACCCAAGTCGAAGCCCAATTTCGGGCCCAACCGAAAGACGGTTGCGACATCCATGCCTAAAGATAACTCACCATTATTTATTGATGAGTAATATCCATAGTCACTGAGATGAGGCATATCTGCAAATTCTGGCCCGTACATTGCACTATAATCAGCTTCATACATGTGTGCTGGAGGGTCAGTTTGTGCCACATTTCCTAGAACTTCATCTACATCATCATCATCATCGGAGTTGAATTACGATGATTCTGGGTGAATGAATAGTCCAGTCTCAGCACCATCCGCACCAGGCTCACGAAGCGGTTCTTCTGGTGGAGATGATGGTTCCTCCATGCTCTCCACATTTAGGTCGAAGAACCTACTATTTGCACGCCTTCCCCTTGAACTGGAAGGCATATCGACATTGAGATCGAAAAAACTCGCAGTCAAATGCCTCCCCATGAGGCTTGAAGCCATCATGTCAAATGAAAACTGCACAGATTGTTGCATCGATGGAATCTCCATATTAAGGTCAAAGGGATTTGCAGATGAATGCCTTCCCCTTGAACTGGACGCGATGTTGCCATACGGATTGTTCGTCGACCCACCTCGATACATATCGTAAGGAGTTGCTGATGAATGTTTCCCCATTATGACATTAAAATCATTACACATTACTATCGTTAGGCTGTCAACTTGTTCAGCCAGCTCATAGTGGGAGCTTAATGATTGACCCCGAACAGTACGCACTTGAACAAAATTTGCATACATCTCAATATCGGCGTTTGAATAATTACTTTGAGCTTCAACCATCATTTCAACATCATCATTGTTCGAAAGTTCGAACGTTGTATAAGTTAATGGCAATAATGATGTTGGAAATCTGTACTGTAACGACGACATTCTTCTACTACTTCCAACATGAATCTTCCTCGAAATCTTCGTTATCAGCTCCTCAAGAGTTATGTTTCTCTTAAATGATATTTTAACACGCTCATTTGATACGAAAACAACTCCGATTTCATCTTCTCGAATTTCACCATCATAATAAACAATAACTTAAAGTCGCACCATTCTTTAAATTTAAAAGTGCGGCAATATTATATCTGCAAAAAAAAAAACAACTGAAACAAACCTAATTAAATAAATAATATTTGAACGAAAATATAACACAATAAATTTTTTACACATAAACGTAAATAATTTAAATAATATAATTTTATATTATTACCTGCACCGCAAAACTATTTTGACGTATGCTCCTACTTTCCAATTTTACAAACACAGAAATTAATTGACAACAATTAGTATAATATTTTTTCATATAATCATAATAAACAATAAGTATAATAAAAAAATTACCTTATAACGAAAAATCGAACGAACTTCTGAATCAAATATGAGAAGATTACCAGATTGTTGTATTAATTTTTTTCTGTTGAGAGTGTGAGGAGTTTCGTGGGAAGGATATTTATAGCGGATAAAAGTTATTATAATTATACAAGACGCGGTACTTGCACCGCGCCTTACATAATTATATCAGATAAAGCTAAGGCGCGACCCTAAGACTGCGCCGAATATAATTGTGTCAGATTCATAGTTAAGGCGCGACTCCTGCCCCGCGCTATAACCTACGTGGCCTAAGGCGCGCCCCAGGGGCTACGCTATACACACGTGTATCCAATGTCAGCCTAAGACGCGCCTCACGGAACGCGGTTTACCTCACGTGACGCCAAATCAACGTTAAACGCGTTGTAAAGAGCGCGTATTTCTGTAAAAAAATGTTAAATTTAAAAAATATAATCTGAACGGTGTTTGATCGAAAATATTAAATGAAAAATGTGATTTTTCGGGTTCTAGATAATAAAAAAAGGTGTAAAAATAATAAGATAACCATAGAAATCAGCCAATCCTATTGGTTACCCACCACGCAACAACCTCCAAACGACGCCGTGCTTCTCTTATCCTCAGCTTTTCTACCAGATATTTCCTTGGACTTATCTCTTCCTCTTCCCCAAAAGGTCATTCTCCCTCCTCCCTCTACTGTTGCTGAACCAGTCTATTAATCGACGACTTGTTCTTTTTATTGTAAACCGGATCGTTTTAACTCAGTGATTCCTTACGAAACAGCTGAGTCCGGTGATGTGGCGGTGAGTTACTTCTTTCTTTGAAGGGGTAGAATTGGAAACCGGAAAAGATGCAAAAAATAGATCGAGCAGACTTGACGGTCGGACCGGCTATGGATATGCCGATTATGCACGATAGTGACCGGTACGATTTCGTTAGGGACATCGGATCGGGTAATTTCGGAGTCGCTCGGCTTATGCGAGATAAGGTTACTAAGGAGCTCGTCGCTGTCAAGTACATCGAGAGAGGCGATAAGGTTAGTTTCTTAGTTCATAAACAGCGATGTCTTTCCTTTTTTGTTGTTGTTGATTTAGTTTTTTTTTTGGAAATATATTCGTTTGGATAACTTCGATGTTAATTTCGGAAGTATTTTATTTGATGTTTGTTTGTTGGTATATTAATTAATTATCATTCCAAAAGATATAACGCATAAGGACCGACTTCTCTGGTTTCTCACAACACAACTACTTAACTGACTTTTTTCAAAAAATAATTTGCGCATTAAATTTGTGCTACCTTGCTGTTTTACAGATTGATGAAAATGTTCAAAGAGAAATTATTAATCATAGATCATTGAGGCATCCGAATATTGTTAAATTTAAGGAGGTAATGTTAATACTTAATTCATTTTACTACTATATATATATATAGTGAAATTAAGGTAATGTTTTGATTAACTGGCTGTGGACATAAATGCTTTAGGTTATATTAACACCTACGCATCTTGCCATCGTAATGGAGTATGCCTCTGGAGGAGAGCTTTTCGAGCGAATTTGTGCTGCCGGTCGATTCAATGAAGACGAGGTTTATTTTCCTATGTTTTACATTCATGTTTATGCGCCGTTTCATTTGTGTGTTGTTTTTGTTTTAATTTCTATATATCTATTGTTTCGGTGCAGGCTCGGTTCTTCTTCCAACAGCTTATATCAGGCGTTAGTTATTGCCACGAGATGGTAGATATACTTTATCCACTTTGTAAAAATGTGTTGAATTGTATGGTGTCTAGCCTGATAGATTATTTTGCTCATCGATTTGGTTTGTTTTACTTGATGAAGCAAGTATGCCACCGCGATTTGAAGTTGGAAAACACTTTGTTAGATGGAAGTCCCGCTCCACGGCTTAAGATATGTGATTTTGGGTACTCCAAGGTATATATACCTTTGTTGTTATCCCTCTTTTTGGCATGGTTAAGGCTTATACTTTCTATTTTTTGAAACATGTTCCCTTTGGTTTTCTAATTATCGTGTTTTTGTGTTCACTTGTCCTTTTCAGTCATCAGTTCTTCATTCGCAACCAAAATCCACTGTTGGCACTCCTGCATACATTGCTCCTGAAGTACTCCTAAGGAAAGAATACGACGGCAAGGTATATTTACGAGACGCTCAAATTAGTTTAGAATGTCGGTTTACAATATGCACCCAATTCTGGTTAAGACGTAAAGGGTATATGTTCAATGGGCCGTTCATTGCTTTCTGGTTGTATTTAGGGTGAAAATGTCATTGAATTGATGGTTTTCACCTTTAGTTGATCTAAACTTCAATTTAGTATTCATACCCTGTTTGAGATGACAGTTGCAAAAGATGCTGGATATAGATGATCCTCTTCCTTGTAGTCAGTCCGTAGCTAGGATGCGTAGAGTGGTAAACCATGTAATATGGCCAGCTTCAACAGGAGCGTTTACCCCATATAAGAGTTTATTTACTCTTTTATTTCTTGTTGAATAAGAATGGGTCTTTTGGTTGTACTTTTCTTTATAGACGTTTTAATTTTTCTTTCTTACTGGGCATCAAGCCTTGAGCAATAGTTAACTTATTGATACTCAAAGGCAAATAAAAACACCAGAGTTAGTGTCGCCCAATCCTTTGGTTGTCTTTTGTCCAAGTGAGTCATACTTTTCTGTGCATTTATGTTAAGAATATGAACTTGGTAAAAATGAGTTAATGACTTTGTTGTGCGATATCAGATTGCAGATGTATGGTCATGCGGGGTTACCTTGTATGTAATGCTGGTTGGGGCATACCCTTTTGAGGATCCTGAGGAGCCAAGAGACTTTCGGAAGACAATACAAGTATGTCGTCCGATATTGTTATTTCATCGGTCATTTTTTTCATTTCCCGAAAATGAATCTGTTTGCTCATTTTTTTTGTACAGAGAATCCTTAGTGTACAGTATGCAATTCCTGATTTTGTCCAAATATCATCCGAGTGTCGACACCTGATTTCAAGGATATTTGTTGCAGATCCTACAGCTGTGAGTAATTTCTGTTTGCTTCAACTTCGTAAATTATTCTTCAATTTCTCAGAGTTTACTTTTTATCTTGGTACATGAACATCCAAGAAGGGAAACGAGGAGTGGCGTTGTTTTGCATGTTGTGGTAACTTTTGAAAACTATGGTGATTCGGAAGTGATTAAGCCATTCTGATTATGGATTTTTGTTTAACAGAGAATCACAATTCCAGAAATTAGAAACCACAAGTGGTTCTTGAAGAATCTTCCTGCTGACCTGATGGATGAACACACAATGGGTAGCCATTTCGATGAGCCTGATCAACCTATGCAGAGCACAGACACGATTATGCAGATTATTGCCGAGGCCACCATTCCAGCTGCGGTAGCCCCAAGCCTAAACCATTACATGCTTGACCCCCTTGATGACGAAGAGATGAATGACCTTGATTCTGAATCCGAACTCGATGTTGATAGCAGCGGAGAGATAGTCTACGCGATGTAATATGGAAGGAAAAAAAACAGTTTCCCTGCAGTGGTGCAGTTGTTCCCTGCAATCTTAAGCGTGAAGACATACATGGCTGCATTTATGGTAGAGTTGCACAATGCTGGTTCCAAATTGTCATGGTCCGTTGAGTATAAATCTGTGGAAGAAAATGATTTTTAATAGTAATTCACAGGGGATGATCACCGGGAAAAAAAGATTGATTGTTCATTGTTGGATATGATCATCTCCCAAACTTCCACATGTCGGTAACTATCGTCGAACCCTCTTCATTTGTATTTTGGAATTTGTTCGTGTACTTTTTGCTTGGTTATGTTTTATGCAGTTGAATATATATATATATATATATATATATATATCCCTTTTTAAAGTTTTTTAACATGGACTTGACAATGTTTTATATCTATTTAGAAAGAATTATTATGGGATTATATACCTTCACTTAAACTCTCTCTTTAGGGTTTTATAGAAATGTGATTTTTTTTTACCTTGGTGAAATTCATGTATTATATCAAGATACTTTATTATTTTTAGTAATAAAGATTAAAGACATGTTTTTCTTTGGCGGGATGGTCTTCTAATCTTCTTTTTGCGTGAAGTGGGGGAAGGAAAATTAAATTAAACTCGGAATAAGAAAAAAGAGAGAGGGAATTTAATAAAATTTAAACTAAAAATGAGAAATTATTTAGGGTAGAAAATTGAGAGATGCAACAGCATTGAAAGTATTAATTGCAAAAAGTGTGAGAAAGCAGTCATTGGTGGCTGGACAATCGATGAACGACAGTGATCGGTGTGTAAAAAATAGATGTGCAACCGCCAAGTGTTTTACGGATCTAATTTTACAAGAGTAGAGAAAGAAAATATAAGATTGATGAAGAATTATTATTGAAACTTTATTAAAGAAAAAGGGGTGCTTTGACCATTACAATATGCATGATTATATAACCCAGACTACTAACAGAAATGAAACAACCCAACAAAATGAGATCTAATTAATTAGTAACCTCAAACAAATTAACAACTAATTATTTGTAAGATTCTCCCTGCTTCAAATTCTTAATTTTCTTTAAAAAAAATCTTCTGATCAGTCAACATCCTGCTGTCATCTAACGTGATACCCGAAAAGAAAATGTTTTCTTCCTTCCATTCAACCTTGGTTTTTCTTCTCTCACACTCGATGTCTTCACTCGCCCTCTTTCTTCATGCTCTTGATCTTCTTTGTAGTTGATTCTTGAATAAAAGATGCAAACAAAGTGCTGCAAAAATATGCAACCAGTAATTTAGACACTTGATTTGGTACAATGAGCTGGTTCTCAATATAGAAATATACTTTCTCTTCATTCACCATTCCGACTTTCTTCTCTCTTTAATCTAAAACTCCTTTAAAAATTATCTTCCTTCTACTTAGGTGAATCAACGAGAATCAAAAGTGTTATGCTTCATTTTGTTCTACTTTAAACAAAAATTGAAAGTGCTTCATTTCATTTTACTTTAGACCGGAATCGAGAATACTTTAAAAAAGTAATCAAGTGTAGTACATTAATGTAGTGTGGCGATCACTGAACTTAAGTGTTAGTGAAGGTAACACGTGAGAATTTATTAGGCACGTGTTGTGTATGTGTTCCAGATGAAATCCATAACTTGCATTAAATTTCACTTAGTTATGGACTACAGGGGATTAAAAATATAGATCGAAATTTATTTCATATAATTCATCTATATTTCTTTATTTTAAAATTATTGCGTTTATATATATATGATAGGAATTATTAATTTATATTTAATATAATCATTAATATTTAATTTATTAATCGATTAATTCAGATAAGGTACTACATATGTCGGGAGCATGAGAACAATTATTTTAACCCAATTTACTCCATTCACAAATACTAAGATTTAAACTTATGACCTTGTTGAAAGAATCTAGTGTCTCATCTCATTAAATAAATTGATTGTTGGTTATGTAATTAATTTATTGATATTACATAAATATCTAAATTATCACATTAGATATACGGTATTATTTTAATTATTTTATATGTAGTATGTTACATATAATTAATTATGATCCGTACTCGTCCCGCCCTCCCCGTTTCTTTTAGGCCAAAACGGACCTTCCAAAAATAATGCTTACTTAAATATTAATCCACAAAGAAATTCAATATAGAATAAATAATAATAATAATAATAATAAAGAATTGATCCATGTTATGGATCTGCTGTTTTCAAGAAATTCTACACCAGTTCAAGTATGATCAACTTGTGGAGTTAAATTATTGGGAATATTTTCAGCTGAACATATGTGATGCAAAAACTACTGGGATCTCAAGTTTTAGCATGAAGTACGCCGCAAAACAGCTTCTGCATGCATGGATAATCGTGTCCATGCTTCCATTTGCATGATCTTAATGCATGTATATAAGGCAATGAGTTGTGTTCTTGTTGACATCACAGAACTCAAACAGGTTCTCTTTTTGTTTGAATCTTTAGGGCAACAAAGAGTGGGGAAAAATCGAAGATAAAAATGATGCAACATGCCATTTTCCTGCAATTTTTACTTGGAATATTGGCTTGCATTACTGTCCTTTTTGCCGGTGCAGAAAATCCATATAGATACTATACGTGGTTCGTCACATATGGAACTCGAGCTCCCCTTGGTGTTAACCAATGGGTTTGTTTTCCATCAACCAATAAACACACTACAGCAGCAGAACTGTTCTACAACGACGTTTTTAGCGGCATTTTGAGAAAAAACACCGCTAACTTTAAACATATAGCGGCATTTATATTCCAAACGCCACAAAATGGTAACTTTAGCGGCGTTTTTACACAAAACGCCGTGATAGAGTAGTACTTTAGCGACGTTTTTAAACAAACGCTGCAATAGGGTTCATCTATAGTGGTGTTTTTCAAAAAATACCGCAACAGAGTAGTATTTTAGCAGCGTTTTTATACAAACGTCGCAATAGAGTTCATCTATAGTGGCTTTTTTCAACAAACGCCGCAACATAGTAGTACTTTAACGGCGTTTTTATACAAACGTCGTAATAGGTTTCATCTATAGTGGCATTTTTTCAACAAACGTTGCAACAGAGTATTACTTTAGCGGCGTTTTGTACAAACGCAACAATAGAGTTCATCTATAGTGACATTTTTTTAATAAACGCCGCAACAGAGTAGTACTTTAGTGGAGTTTTTATACAAATGCCGTAATAGGGTTCATTTATAGTGGTGTTTTTTTTTCAAAAAACACCACAATAGAGTAGTACTATAGCATCGTTTTTTTTACAAACGCCGCAACAGTTTGGTATGTTTGTGGCGTTTGGTTTTAAAAATGCTACAAATTTTAAGTATAGCCTTCTTTGATTTCTATTTCACGTAAAAAAGTTTAGAAACCCCTAAAAAATAAAACCCTTTTTGTTTAAACTCTCATATCCTACTTCTCTACACGGTCGCCTCTCCCTTAGAGACCAAAACCCGTCGCTCTGACCACCGTACTCGTTGAAGCCCCTCTTCTCCAACCACCAACCCTCATGACTAGAAAGGTTGAAGCTTTCCTCCCACGCGATCGTGAGACCCCCAAAGGCTCCAAGCCAGCTTAAAATATCGTTCATCGATGCAGTTCTCTCTCTACGGTCGACAACCGGTGGCCATTGAGAAGACTCCCAAAGCATAAACCAAATAAAACCCTAGATTTCCCTTGTCTAATCTCCAAAAAAGTGATATTGATTCTAAACTGAAATCTAAGAAAGTTATAAACCCACTCAGTCCTTGCTCCGACGATCCTCAGTCTACCTCCTCTCGATGACAAGCGACGAATAATGACGATTTCTAGACTTCGGTGAGAGGTTCAAGCGAACGAGGTAACAATCCCCTCTCCCTTCCTATTTCGTTGGCCCTCAAAGAAATAAAATGACCCATCATTTTTATAGTTCGAATATGGAACTGAAAATAGAACAACAAATACAAAAAGATTTTTTTTGTTTTTCTATTGCTTAGTTCTTTTCTTCGACAAGAGAATTAAAGAGATCTTTACATTGTTTCATTGTTTTTATTCTAAAATGGAAAAGATGAAGAAAAAGAAAAGAAAAAGTCAACCCCCTCTTCTACATTTGAATCTCCCCCTCGTTTACATTTTTATTTGGGTTTTATAGTAACCCTTGTTAAAAATGGAAAAAATACATTCATTTTCCTTTTTGCTTTCTCCTTTTGCATATGATTTGTTAGTGTGGATTTGCTAATGTGGATGAGCATTTTGGGAACCACCATCGATGTGTAGGCTGTCGTGGCAAGGAGCATTTTGTTGATAGTCCTACTAGAGGTGTGGAGAAAGGCCACATTGGTAGTGTGCAGCAACTGGGCCACATTGACTAATAAAGCATAACCTTTCTAGTGTGCATTAAGTATGCATGAGTTTGTGTCTGAACGTATATGTGAAGGGTGCATCCTTATACACATCTTTTTGGAGGCATTTCTGGAAGATAGGCAGGATGCTGAGGTGAGATGGAGTTTCTTATGGCTTGTGATTCTGAACTTTGCATGTTGTGACTAAAAATGTGATTCCAACAGTTTTCAGGGAATTTTACCATACTTCTCTTTCTTTATTATGGTCGAACAACTGAATGGGATGAGTTTGATTGGTCAAATGAGGCAATACATGTGAGTGTTCGGAGGCAGACTAAATAGTAAGTAGTTAATCTAGATTTTCAAATTCAAGTCCTTTTGCTGTCAGGATTGGATGCAATGACTAGTTATTGCGTTCCTTAATGTTTTTAAAAATCTAACTTAATATTTTATTTTAATTATTAGATGTGAGTCATGTTTGAGTTTATGTTTTATTTTTATTATTGGATGTGAGTCAAGTAAATTTTAGCATGTTACTTTTAGAAACTGATAGAGAGGCCATTTAACTGGTATGCGTCTTTGCTGAAGCATATCGTCAATATCAAAATTGCATGGTTTAAGATTTTCAAGGAGAATTTTGTTTCATTTTGGGACAAGTTGGTTATAAAGTGCCAGAATAGGGCATTATTTGATAAGGAATTGTTTGACAAGTGCATTGACTTGTCATGACTGGTTTGTTTATGATTCTAGGTTTTTGATGGATGTAGCTACATGTTTTTTGCAGTTATGTGAAGGTAAACCTTCAGAAGTTGTTGGTGCATTCTTGTCTATGTCTTTTACAGCAGTGGTAAACCTATATGAATTGCGCTGTTGACTGAGAACTTGGATGCTAAATCCTTTTATTATTTCACAGTTCATATATATATTTTGTTTGTAGGGTAGTATTTCTCACAATTTTGAAATTTTTAATGCTTGTC